GGGTTGATTCTCTCAAACTTCCAATTCGACCACTGCCCTTATCGCCTTCGAACTTTTATCCTTGTCCCCTCGCTGAATTCAAGTTCCAGCCTTCGCAACAGGTTTGTAACTTTACGTCTCTCTTACCTTCACTGTTGTGTTGATGATGCGTCGATTTCACCAATTACGGTGCATCGGCTTTGCTTTCTGTAAAATTCCGAGACTTGAATTTATCTCTGTATTCTTTTTATAGACTCTGTTAGTGAATAAATCCGGACAAGATGAAGATAGTTCGCAGGGATTTTGTTCGTAATGGACCTGGAAGCGTTAAGGTTTGATTGATTCCTTTATGTTCATGTTTGAAGAAGCCCTAAGCTTTTAATTGCAAATTCAATTGCTTTGCTGAATGTATTTTTTGTTTAATTGATGAGGGTAGATGGTGGCTGAGGACTCTGATGATCTTTGGTATGCTTATAACCTTATTGCCACTGGTGATAGTGTAATGGCTGTCACGTTTAGGTACACTCTCTTTTCACTACCTTCACCTTGTAAAATTCATTGGATTGTAAAAATTTCGTGAAATTATTTTTAGTGTTTGGTTAACCAATATAGTAGTATCATGCAAGGAGGTAGCAGTTAATGTGTTTTTGTTTTGTTTTAGAAGTTAATAACAAAGCTATGAATGTATGTTTTCCACTTATGTTCTTAATATGGTTTGATTGAGACACGTGATTGATTATGAATATTTTCTTAAAAGGTGTATACGTTGTCCACTTTTGTTTATTTTGGTATCAGAAAGGTTCAGAGAGAGGTGCCTGGTGGGGGAAGAGACTCTGAGCGTGTTAGACTGAAGCTCGAAGTACAAGTTGAGGTATGTTTTTCTATGGGATTAGTGTGCAATTTTGTTAATACTGTTCTACTCCAAAAACCTGTTTTCTTAAACAATCACGTTTAAATTCGCAATGGCAATACATGTTCTATATTGGGTTACACATTCATTTGGGTAGTACAATTGATAATGCTCACATTTATTAACTTTTTAGTTGTCTTTGGCCCTTTGGTCTTGGTAACCTTAAATGTGGTAACATTTGTCTACTGTTATCGTCTGGTTGTCTTTAATTTTCTTTATTTATTCAATTAGGAGGTGAACTATGACAAAGACGCGGCTGTTCTGCGCATACGTGGGAAGAATATCCTGGAGAATGATCACGTAAAGGTAGACTGCGATGCTGACTTTTGCCATATTGATTTTTGTTTTTGTGTGCTGAAGCCTGGTTGTATCGCAGATTGGTGCATTCCATACTCTGGAGATTGAGCTGAAACGACCTTTTGTATTGAGAAAGGTAAATTTCCTTTTTTTACTATGTATATCCTTCAGAAGTTCTGTTGTCTGTTATATTTTTACCTTGTATCCTTCAATCTAGACTGTGTAGTCCGTTTGCAAGACGATCATCTTTAGAAGCAGCGACACTGCATATTGTTTTAGATATTGGATTTGTTTTTCTACAATCTTTAAATAATTATTTTAGAATGCGTATAAGAGTCAAAGTGCCTTCAACTATTATTGTTAAACTACACGATCCCATTTAAGCAGTTTTGGAAGTAGAATCTATCTTGCTGTAGATGGATCTTGAATCTTGATGTTGTTTCTGGAGCAGCCTGCTTACTATGTTGGTGGCTGATTTGAACTTTTCACCCTTTTCTAAACTTAATTTGTAATCGGTAGTGTGTACATGGGTGAATTTTCAGGGAATATGGGACTCATTGGCTCTTGATACACTCAAGCAGGCTTCAGGTATGCTGCTCCGTTGATTCGCCCTACTAATTTTCTGAGGAAAATACTTTTGAAACTGTCACAAAACTGCAAAAGTGTCTGTTGAATGTTGGCACGTAATCCGAGATCTGTCTCCGTGTGGTCTAGTGTAGATATTGAATCTAATTCATTGGTGTACAAACTTTCATATGAAACACTCCAGAATTCTTCTTTTGTCTCCAGTTTACATATCTTCATAGGCCTGCAAATCACTATTTATTTCGGTCTCAAGTTTATTTCAGTTTTTTTTTTCTTTGCATAGATCCCGCTGCTAGTGCTGATCTAGCTGTAGTGTTAATGCAAGAAGGACTTGGACAAATCTTCCTTGTCGGCAGAAGGTACTAATTACTGTAGTTTGTGTTTTGACGGCATGTATTTTTAACTTTATCACCTGGCTAGTTTCGGTTGAAGAAGTATGAAAGGAGTCAAATAAAATCTTTGATTTCTGATCTTCTTTACGTTATTGTCTAATGATTGGCAGTGTGACAAGTAGCCGTGCACGAATAGAAACATCAATACCTAGGAAGCATGGGCCTGCTATTGCTGGTTATGAGTCTGTATGTTCCTGCACAGTTTCATTATATACATGCCCAAAACTATGGTTGATGGAAATTTCTCTGATACAATCATACATGCCTTATATTTTATTTTTTCTTCTGTAGGCTTTGAAGAAATTCTTTGAGAATGTTCTACAGGTTTGTTTTTGTTCATTGGTGTTTTCTAATAACACCAGAAAAAGCGTACCTGAGTTTCACATATTCTAAAAGTCTATTGGAATATCTCAGGCCTTTGTGAAACATGTTGACTTCAGTGTCGTTCGTTGTGCAGTGATTGCTAGTCCTGGCTTTACAAAGGTAATTTTTGCCTCTCGAGGGTAAATTCTTGTTCAAAATGCAGTTGGATAGGTTTTATACTAGTATAAAGAATATCTAACGGTTACATATTTTCCATTCATATATGACACACATGATAACCTTTTGATTGTTTCGTATCTTCAGGATCAGTTTCATCGTCACTTATTATTAGAAGCTGAAAGAAGACAGTTGAGACCTATTATTGAGAACAAATCACGGATAATTCTGGTGCACACAAACTCTGGATATAGGTAGTGTTTCTGTGAAATGTGAAATTGTTTATGTAACCTGTCAAAATGATTATATCCTAAAGGTATAATAATTATAGATGTTTAAATTCATGTAAATGGTGAGTGATGTCTTACCTCTAGCTTTTTTGTATTGTTTTGCTTGTTCACTTCTCTAAAGCCTACAAAATTTCTTTGGTTTCTAACATTATGTTTTGGTTCACAGACATAGCCTGGGAGAGGTTTTAAATGCTCCCAACGTGATGAATATGATCAAAGATACTAAAGCAGCAAAAGAGGTGATTTAGATTGTCAATTTAGCTTGTTTTCTTTTTAATATTTTTTGAATTGCTTACTCAAAATTGGTTTAGCGTCTTGGATTATTTTTGTTTGTGGTTGCTTATTTAAATTCTTCTTGAAATGTACCGTTATCATCCACTTGCTTGATGTTAATTTACCTCTTGCAGGTCAAAGCTCTCAACGATTTCTTCACCATGCTTTCAAATGTGAGGCTCTTTTGCTATGAATAGAAAGATTCTCATCCGTTTTTAAGATTATTTCAATACATCTTGAGATTCGTTTGATTTAATATAATCCAGGATCCAGCTCGAGCATGCTATGGACCAAAACATGTAGAAGTTGCACACGAACGAATGGCAGTCCAAACACTTCTCATCACGGATGAGCTTTTCAGGTTTAGTAATGGAAGGGCATACATATTGTAATTCGACTTTTGTATTCTCTTAAGAGCAAATGTGATTGACGTTATAAACGTTTGTTCAGAAACTCTGACGTGAAAACAAGGAAGAAGTATGTGGATTTGGTGGAGTCAGTGAAAGATTCAGGAGGAGAGGCTTTTATATTCTCGTCCATGCATGTTTCAGGGGAACGTGAGTGTTTGTTTGTTTTTATCTTATTTTTCTTATTAATTGTGCCAAACTCTTATACAGTGTTGATGATGAGATTGCAGAGTTGGCACAACTCACTGGGATTGCAGCTCTGCTCAGGTTCCCATTACCAGACCTCGAAGACATTGAGATGTAATAATATATCTTCGGCTATAGAAAACAATTACAAAATCATATAGCTCTCATTATAATCTTTAGTCTTTCTCTATAGCTTCAAAGTGAGATTTGTATTGTGGTTTAAGAAAGCAACTCTTACATTGATTTAAGTTCAGTTATTTGTTGCTGTTTTTCAGCGCTTTGGTTTTAGTCAAATAGGAAACGGTATACCTTGTTGAATCTTGAAACAGTAAAATACACTTTGTGGTTGTGTTTTTTTCAAAGTGAAATAATTTTAGGTTAAAGATCTGATTCTGTTTGTATACATCTGTTCACTAACACTGTGAAAGGAAAATATGAATATTGGTTCAAAAAAATGGGAAACATTTTGTTAACTTCGGATCCAAAAACTTGGTGAATTGAATAGTTGCAATATTGGGAATGTGCAGACTGACTTTAGGTATCTTCAAGGTTTACAAAGTTGGTCAAATGTGGATGAGATTCAGTTGAAGTTGGTTGCCTTCTTTATAAGAAATATTGGTTGTCAAATTTAGTTTAACACTTGTTTGGGTTAGGTTTAGGTTTCCAAATGAAGAAATCGTTAGGGAAGAGTTGGATCAAAATTAATTCAATAAAAACTGTCACATTAGTGTCTAATGTTTTAGTTGACCATATATAGAAAAGAATATATAAAAATCACGATAATTAACTAAATAACAGACTGATAAACCAAACCACAACCAAATCAAAATATCCAAACCAAACCAAAACCGTCAAGTATTCAAATAGTTCCTATATTTTTATATCTCAAATAAATGAACCGAAATCAGAACTGAATCCAAACTAAAATCTAATAAGTATTTATTACATATAAAACTGATTTATCTGATATATCCAAAACCGAATAGTTTTTATCCGAAATCGAATACGAATGCAGAAATTTAATTAAAAAATGGAATTAACACACAGAAGAGAACTAAGCTGGATTACTCAACTACCGTGAGCGTCATCCATAGAACGTGGTGTACGCGTGCAGGGATTTTAGTTTTTTTCTTTTTTTTTTTATAAATAATACTTTCATTAAATTTTAATATATGTATTTTGTAATATCGATTTAACAGTGACGGAAGTAGTGCGAGGCGCCGTCTCCTCCTCCATTTCGCTTCTCCTTATTTTCTGGGGATTTTTACAGTCAAATTAAAAACCATATCATCGCCCCGAAACTCAGATTCCTCCCCGGAATCTCATCGCTTTCCGCGAGTTTTAGATTGTTAAAAACTGCAACGACGAGAGAAAGAGCCACACGATTGAAAGTTTAACAGTCGGAGATTATGGAGCCCTAGAATGTCCATTAATCTCATGAGGTTCGCGTCCCGATTATTATTATCTCTCTCGCTCACTCGAAATTTGTTATTCTCGGGAAAATCTATTTTTCTTTTTGAGTTTTGATTGATTGCGATGTTTGTGAAAATGTGTAGCAATTAATGTGTAGTAGTAAGTTTGCTTCGTGATCAAGTCAAGTATCTCTCTCTCTTTCTCTCTTCGTATATTAACCGTTTCGGAGATTTAATTATCTCTCTCTTGGTAACGGTCACCGCAGGTTATGTTTTGGATGATAGAGACTTGCGATAATGAGTACACGAAGAAACGGCTTTTCCAAGCAGCGAGGTGAGAAAGTTTGTGGTGAAGGAGGGGTGAATTGGATTTTAATCGCAGGTGGAGCTTTGTTGAGCACTTTGTCTATACGCTTTGGGTGGAGGCTAAGGCAGTCGATTGATTCCAAACCTCAATCCAATGCCTCTCTTGGATTAAAATGTACTACTTAGCTTTAATATTCACTGTGTTGCTTTTTACATGATTTTGAATTTGAGTTTTGGTTTTCATCTTTTAATGAATGTATGTTTGTTGTGTAGGTAATGGGACGTCTGAGAGGGGAAAATCTGTAGGTTGTTGTTTGCTGCACTCCAACACGTCTTCTTGTGCGCATAATGATGAGTATTGTTGCTTCCACTCCAATTCAGGTCTCTCACTTTTTTATTTTCTTTACATATAAATTTTGTATAAGCCACTAAATAACACTATATGCTATCTCTTACTGGGTTTATTTTGACCAACATGTGAAAGTGCATGTGGGATATAGTAAAATCTTCTTGGAAGAATGTGTAGGTATTGTTACAGTGTTCTAGCTTCTATGATCTTGCCTAATGATGTCTTTGAAGTGCTAATTAGAGAACATGTAGTTGACGGCGATGTATGAGGTTGGAAACTAGGTACTCAAATTTGAAGTTGCATAGTGCTTAAAGTCAGTTTGAACCTTAATAATGCTTGGTTCTTTGTGGCATATTATCATTAATGTGCATCAGTGAAGATTCCCACAGGGGAAGCAGATTTTTTTCCGGTGACGGCTGTGTCTAGTTGCTGAATGCTAGCAATAGTCATAAAAGTTCTAGCTTCTATTATATTGCCTAGTGATGTCTTTGAATGCTAATTAGAGAACATGTATTTGATGGTTATGTATGAGGTTGGAAACCAGGGACTCCAATTTGAAGTTGCAGAGTGCTTAAGTCAGTTTTAAAGATTCATCTTCTGTTAAGTACTGATTTAACCTTAACAATACTTGGTTCTTTGTGGCATCTTATCATTAATGTGCATCAGTGAGGCTGGCACTAAGGAAGCATATTTTCTCCATTGGCAGTTGCTTGTGCTTAGTTGCTGAATGATAGCAATAGTTACAAGAGTTTCTATCATTCAACTAGTTATAAAGATTTGTCATGTTATATCCACAACTGAGTTCAGCTTTCATTTTGAAGAATATCTTAATCCCCTTCCTCTGTCCATGTATTCGAGAGGAGTTGTTAGATCTTATCAGAATATTTACTTTTCTTTTCTTTTAATAGGATCTGAACATGTGGAGGGAAAAGAGGAGCCAAACGAGCAAATGGTATCTGCATCTGACCCTTCACTGCCCCTTGTGACAGTTCCTGCTTACAGCAAAGAGAACGGGGTCATGTGGACTTCTTCTCCTGATCGCCTGGAACTTCCCCCGAAACCATACAATCACCATTCCACCTGCTCGGATTCTCCTTGCGTATCTGAAACCAGCTCAGACATCTTCAGCAAACGAGAAGTAATACAGAAGCTGAGGCAACAGCTCAAGAGGCGTGACGACATGATACTGGAAATGCAAGAACAGATTCTAGAGCTGCAAAACTCGTATAACGCACAGCGGGCACACTCTAGCCATCTCCAGGCACAGCTAGACTCGATGAACAGAGATCTGTTTGAATCAGAAAGAGAAGTTCAGAGACTGAGAAAAGCAATCGCTGATCACAGCGTGGGATGTGTAGGTAGCAATGGCAAGACATCTCCTGTTGCACCTTGGAGTAATGGGTTTATGGACAGCGAGAACAATTATGAGTCAATGGAAAAGGGATCAAAGGACGGAGAGAGGATAGAGATGTTGAGAAAGGAAGTGGAAGAGCTTAAAGAAGTGATAGATGGGAAGGAGTATCTACTTAGGAACTATAAAGAGCAGAAGATTGAGCTTTCACAGAAGGTGAAAGAGTTGCAGCAGAGATTGGACTCTCAGTTCCCAAACATATTGTAGGTCCAAAAGGTTAGAGCATTGTGCATTCTTTCTTGCTAGTTGTTGCTTCTCTTCTTTTGGTTTTGGTATTTTCAGCTTCTTAGGGAAAAATGAACCATGTACTAAGAAGAATCATCTTTGGAGTCTCTCACTCTTGAGTAAAAATTTCAGGTTCTCTTGCTTTTAGCTTTCGTTTTCGAATGTTTTGATTTTGTTTTTTTGGTTGTGTCTTGCCTCTGTATTGATGTAAAGGAAAGTAGTAGTTAAGGTTTTGCCACGAGAATACTTTGCTTTTTATGTTCCTATAAAGAGAATGAACAGTTTGAGGATTATAGCAAATTGTCAAATGTTAACTAATGGTGACAAATTGACAAGCAAATGGTGACAAGGGACTCTTTTAACCCCTTAAAACCTTGAAACACCATTTCAAGGCTAAGCAGAGTGTAATTTTGTTGATTTGTTAAAAACAGATGGTGCCAAAATATCGAAATTCATAAATAAGCATAGGATTATTTTAGTAGTGGGATAAAAATTAAAATGAAAATAAAAATAAAAATAAAAATAAAGGAATTGTCGTCGGCATGCTCATAATGAAAATTTAGTGTAAATAGTCAAATCAAAAACATTATAAAAATAGAGTAAATCACTAAATCCTAATGATGATAGTACTAATCCTTAATAAGATGATTAATAGATATGATTATTATTGTCGACAAAAAAAAGATTAATATTATATAAATTAAAAAAAAAGGAAGCGCAGGAGAAGACATTTTATCCTCTTCGTAGCCGTCTCTGAAACCATTAGTTCTGGTCTGCTGTTCCTTCCTCTCTGAGTTTTGGATGGAGATGTGAGCTTATCCTTCATCTTCATCCCAAAACGTAAAAAAAAAAAAGAGAAACTCTTTCTATATATATACATTCACATGGCTCTTTCTCTCCTCTCTCTAATTCCTCCCTCTCCCTCTCTTTCTTCCTCCTCCTCTTCTCTCTCCCCTCTTTACTCCTTATACAACCCCAAAGAAACCCTTCAAACCAACAAAACCACCATTTTCAGAAGCTCGTGGAACCTAAGAATTAAAAAGAGGCAACTTAGTCTCATGGTTTCAAGAAACAGTGGAGGAGAACTAGATGACATGGATGAAGTTCAAATCAATAGAATCGGTAACCAAGACGAAGAAGACGAGGAAATGACACAAACCCATTCTTCTTCTTCCTCCCCTGAGAGATGGGATGTTTTGGGTCTCGGCCAAGCCATGGTAATAATTGAAAAAGTCTTGATCTTGATGCTAAAAGTGTTGATCTTGATGCTAAAGATGCTTACTTTCTGATTGTTTTTAGGTAGATTTCTCTGGAGTTGTGGATGATGAGTTTCTAAAGAAACTAGACTTAGAAAAAGGAACGAGGAAGTTGATCAATCACGAGGAGAGAGGTAGAGTGTTACAAGCAATGGATGGTTGCAGTTATAAGGCTGCAGCTGGAGGTTCCTTGTCCAACACTCTTGTTGCTTTGGCGAGATTAGGTTGTCCTTCCATCACTGACCGCCCTTTGAATGTAGCTATGGCTGGTAGTATTGCTGGTGACCCTCTCGGTAGCTTTTACAGGTAACACAACACTCTCTTTGGTTAAGGTTAAGTTATGTTAGAGAAAGGTTCTTATGCAAGAGTAGTTTGATCTATGCTCATCATTGAATTTAGTAGAGTTATACTATAGATTGTATTTTTGCTTGAAACTGTGTCTTGATTTAGAGGTTTAGTTTATGTCACTGTTCTAAAAATCGGTTTAGGCGTTAAAAAAACCCTCTATAAAGAGTTTAGGTACAGTTGAACATTGTTTTTTTTTATGATTCATGTTTTTACATGGTTGGTTTAACTTACTTACAAGGGCAGTACATCTTATGTTCAACAATATGCTCAACATAATAGAGTTAAGTTATGTTAGAGACAGGCTCTTATGCAAGAGTAATTTGATCTATGGTTCGCTTATAATAGAGTTACTAGACTATAGTTTGTTATTTGTGCTTGAAACTGTGTCTTGATTTAGAGGTTTAGTTTTTATCAGTGTTTTAAAAATCGGTTTAGGCGTTCAAAAAATCCTCTATAAAACGTTTAGTTACAGCCTAGTGATTTTTTAAACATTGGTTTTTATTTAGGATTCGTCTTTTTACATGGTTTTGTAGGACTAAACTACGGCGAGCAAATGTAAATTTTCTTTCTGCTCCAATTATGGATGGAACAACAGGAACAGTGATTGTTCTCACAACTCCTGATGCTCAACGTACCATGCTTGCATATCAGGTAGTTACAATGTGTTAAAGAGTATCTCAATATTACTAAAATATAGATAACTAACTCAATTTTTTTTTTATGTACATTTTTTCAGGGAACATCTTCTGTGGTTAGTTATGATTCTTGTTTGGCTAGTTTGATATCCAAGACAAATGTCTTTGTTGTGGAAGGCTACTTGTTTGAGCTTCCTGATACTATAAGAACCATAACTAAAGCATGTGAAGAAGCTCACAGAAATGGAGCTCTTGTTGCTGTTACTGCATCAGATGTGTCTTGCATAGAAAGGCACTATGATGATTTCTGGTGAGTTTTGTTTGGCTCCTTCTGCTTTAGGCTGCGAATGTCTTAATCTTTTGATTTGTTTTGTGTTGATTCAGGGACATTGTGGGCAACTACGCAGACATTATATTTGCCAACAGTGATGAAGCAAGAGCGTTTTGTCACTTCTCAGCAGAGGAAAGCCCTATTTCAGCAACAAGGTACTTGAGCCACTTTGTCCCATTTGTTTCAGTGACCGATGGAATCAACGGGTCATACATTGGAGCCAAAGGAGAGGCTATATACATTCCTCCATCGCCTTGCGTGCCAGTTGACACGTGTGGTGCTGGAGACGCATACGCTTCAGGGATCTTATACGGTATCTTGAGAGGTGTCACTGACTTGAAAGGAATGGGAGAGTTGGCTGCTACGATTGCAGCCACTGTGGTTGGTCAACAAGGAACCAGGCTTAGGGTTCAGGACGCTGTTGAGCTGGCTCGGTCACATGACTTTCGTCTCAACAGTGTTGGAACTGATGTTGGGTCTTGATCAAGTCTCACTAGCTTTGATTGGTTCTTTCTTTCAATGTAGTAGTGCTTTTGCAATTAACTTGTAATCTCTTTTTTTTCATCTAGTGGAAAACGTTGGAATATTTGTTGTATGTAACATTTTAGTATATAGTGTCTTTTCAGTATATGTACAAAATTTTCTAACAGAGTATGAAACTGTTATGCTGGATGCATTTTAAAATTAACATTTTCTTCATGTATGATTTATATAAAATGCCATAAAATCTCTATAATATTATTTGACTATTACATTTGATTACCATTATTAAATTTATTTTCCTTTTTATTTGATAGTTTCTGTTATATTTTAGATTATTTTGTAAAATATATATGCATGAGATTCAAAATATTATCTTTAACCAGTGGCGGCAGTCCAGTGGCGTTTGAAAGAATAAACCCAATAAGGCAAACTTTGGTTCAAACCCCATTGGTCACACAGATATATGAGTTATTGCTTCCGACCCATTTGAATACCTAGAAGGGACCTATCCGTGGATTGTACCTCCCCCAGAAGTTAGGTATGTGTCTTTAATAGACCCGGGTTTAACCTTTTGCGTTACAAAAAAAGTATTATCTTTATATTCTTTTATGTAATTTTAATAAATCCATACTTTAATTTATTTTGTCTATTTGATTCTCAAAAAATGTTATACAAAATCTCAGTAAAATATATTTATAAATTTAAGAGAACAACCAACGTAAATACAAAATAAAAAATTATCAAAAATATTAATATATTTAGAGAAATAAAATATTATGGTTGAATTAAAAAAAGAGTAATTGATAGAAATACTACATGTTAATTATCACTTTTCAAAAATATCACCAATCCAAAAAAAAATACTAACATTTGAGTGTACGCTTTATTGATTATTTTTTTAAGTTTTAGTATTAAGGGATTTGATTGGGTTTATAAAATTTCTATAAATATTTTTAAGAAAATAGATTAGTGTTATTTTATCACAAATTTAGGATATCTGTGAAAATAGTCATTCATTATAATGGTAAATCTGAAAAATGGTACCAAATTTCTGGTAAAACTGAAATTCCCCCTTAAAAATAGATAAAATCTAAGATCATTATTATCGCTAAAAACCGTTCACGGTTTCTTAGGCAATTTTTTTTTCATTTTATTATATTTTTTTTCTGAAAAATTAAAAAATGAACTAATCACGGATCACTGCGTGTCGGTGAGGCCCGCGAACAGTGCAAAAAGCCCTCCACAATCGTTTCTTAATTCATAACTTTTGGGATCGGTTTTTACAAGAAAAGTGAAACCCACCACCTAAGAAATCCACTAAGGACTCCCGTTAATTATGCTCTAATATACTCAAGTGATAACTAAATCGACTAAATATAACATGTACAAAATCACATGACTAATTCACAAGTAAAATTAAATAGTCATTAAAACTCATGGATCAAACTCTATTATATTATTATTTCAATAGGTTTACATGTTACAACAAAAAATGATGTTAAAAATTCCACTTATACATGTACCCACTTATATTCTAACTTGGGAGCTTCTTAACCGTGTGTGAAGTACATGCCATCTTCTCTAGCATCCCGAAAATTGGTCTTACCATAATGAATAATCCCACCACCACTTTTGTAAGCTGTAAAACTTACATGAAACGAGAAGTTAGGACCTTGGTCTAAGTCACATTTGAACAAGGTCTACAAAATACTATCATGAAAACTAAAATCGTAGGTCTCTCCAGGGCCCAACAAATGAAAACCCAAGTCGTCATCGACTGATGTACAATGAATCTTGAGATTATTGCCCGGACGAAGAGAACTTTTGAAGTGGACACTGGTTTTTTCAAAGATTGCGTTACTAGACCCAGCAATCAATGCAATGGTAAGCAAAAAGCACGAGAGCCTATTCAATGTTTTGTTTGTTTGGTGTGTGTATGTGTGTCTGTTTGTATTTGTTTTTTTTTTGTAGCTTTGAGGCTGAACATATGTGTAAGATAGAAAATAGAACCTAGTTTACGAGGTCAACCACACGTTAGTGGTCGGGTGGTAATAAGGCGTTATAGCATCACTAAGCGAGCTGAATTCGCAATCCGCTTATGTTCAGATATCTTTAAAGTGTGGCCACCGGTGATTTAACATTCCTTTACCGGAGAATGGTTTACCATTTTTTTTAGTTTACGAGGTCATGCATGCACGCATTCAACTTTGAAAACGATTTGCTTCTTATTTTTTCGTAACGTTTTCAAACAAGGTTTTTTTTGGGTAACGTAACTATCGGAACCCCTTAAAAAACTTTTAAGAGCACAATAACTCTAAAACCTCATTTGGAGTTCTTATTATTTTTATTTTTTTTGTATACTTAAAAAAAAAAAAGAACTAAAAACTAATCAATTGTGGGCCGCCACGTGTGAGTTTTAGAAAAGGAGGAAGAGGTGAGTTTTAACAAATTGTGGGACCTACCTCTTAAGAATACATTTAGGAGGTGGGAATAAAAATGCTTTTAAAATCTTTTTTAAAAATCCTTATTTATGGGGTGACTTATATATATATATATTGAGCATATTAAAAGAAAAAAAAAACAGAGAAGAGTTTCAAGAAAATGACTAAAATAGACCTAAAAAAGTTTTTATCATAAATATAGACCTTAACAATTAAAATGACCAGAATAACACTTAAATGTTTTATTAAATATACATATATACCCTTTGGGTTAACTAATCCTATATTTTTTTGTTTAGAATTGAGGAGTGGAGTTTTTGGGATAGAGTTTCGAATTTAAAAAAATTAAAAAAACTTAAAATTTTCAAAATAAAAAAATGTTAATTTTGGTCATTTTAATTTTTGAGTTCTATTTTTGTGATAAAAACTTAAAGAGGACAATTTTAGAGAATTGCCCTTTCTAAATAGCATACATTAAGAGAAAGGGAAAACATAATTTTTCGGGAACATCTTCTCTCGTTAATTATGCTTGCTGTTTGGCTAATTTGATATCCAAGACAGATATCCAAGGCTAATTTAATAAGGACCATAACGAAAGCATGGAAGAAGCACAGAGTAATGGAGCTCTTATTGCAGTTACGGCATCAAATGTGTCGTGCATAGAAAGGCACTATGATGATTTCTTGTGAGTCGTTTTTTTTGTCCTGTTTCAATCCACTCTTTTTTTTTTTTTGCTAAGAATGCTAATATCATATTAATGATGGTTCAGATTTACAAAAAGTTAATCTAAGAGCTACTCTACCTTGGCAAAAAGAAGAAAAAAAAAGATAGAGCAATGTTATGAACCTAATAAATTAGATAATCAAACTTGACAACAAGGAATGAAATTTCTTCCTATCCCTCATTGCCATGATTGTGTTCTTCACATCTCTGTATATCCTTCTTGCAATCATCATCGGAGCAATAGGGCAGTTGTTGTGATATACATTGTTCCTGTGTTTCCAAAGATGGTATATTGTCGACTGGACTGCTAACTTCCTTAGAATGATAGGATTCTTGTGTTGCGTCTAGCTATTTTCTTTTGTACCTTTTTTTTTAAAAAATATTTTCTATTGTAACTTGGTTAGTCACAGAAGATTTGATTCTTCAAGCTGCGAATGTCTTAACCTGAAGCATCAAAACTAGAATCTCAATGTTGAATTTGTTGTTTGGGCTCCAAATTATCGTACCCTTTCTGTTGAATTAAGGATATTTTGTGAGCAACTATGCAGACAATATATCTGCCAACAGCAATAAGGCAAGGGCATTTTGTCACCTCTCCGCAGCCAAGAATGCACTCGAGAATGTTTTAAAAAATTATCATTAACAATATTTAAAAATATCTAAATTACAGTTTTCATTAACTAACCTAATTATTTGCAATTATTTTGAATATCTTTATTCTTTACAAATATTCTGAGACTGATATACTAAATGAATATCTTTTCTAACTAATATTAAATTATATTATTCTGTGAGATGAGTTTGAACGAAAATTATTCACAAGAGAATAGATTAATATTCATTATGTTGACAAATAACATAAAAAGCTAAGCGTTATAACAATTCAAGTTTCAAAAAAAAAAAACTAACACTGCACATAACCTTATTTACAACTTCACAATATGTAACCCAAAGGTTTAACGTTTTAGGTCAATTTTTTTGGATGCAAATTATAATCATTTATTTTGATGATTTTTTAAATTGATTTAAAGATAATTAAGCCTGCATAGTACATAGTGTTTCAAAAAAAAAAAGAGTAAATAGCCAATACAAACGCATGGATCAAAGTCTATTATATTTATTATCTCAGTAGTAATTACACGTTACAACAAAAATGATGAAAATTCCACTTAAACAGGTGCCCACTTATACTCTAATTTGGGAGCTTCTGTACCGTGTGTGAAGTACATGCCATCTTCTCTAGCATCCCAAAAATTGGTCTTACCAAAACGAACAAGGCCACCACCACTTTTATAAGCTGGAAAAGCTACACGAAACGAGAAATTAAGACCTTGGTCTAAGGTGCAATCGAAATAGGTCTTCAAAAAACTATCATGAAAACTAAAATCGTAGGTCTGTCCAGGGTTCAAAAAATGAACACCCAAGTCGTCACTGTCCGATATACAATGAATCTTGAGAATATTGCCCGGACGAAGAGAATTTTTGAAGTGGACACTGTTTTTTTCAAAGAGTGCGTTACTAGACCCAGCAATCAATGCAATGGTAAGCAAAAAGCACGAGAGCCTATTCATCGTTTTTTGTTTGATTAGTGTTTGTATGTGTGTGTGTTTGTATTTGTTTTTTTCTAGCTCTGAAAAAGGTTCCAATTTATAGAACCTATTTTACGAGTTAATGCACACATGCATACAAAGTTGAGTGTGATTTGATTCTTATTTAGTCGTAGTAATTAATGTTGTCAAATAAGATTTTTTTCGGTAACGTAACTATTGAAATGTAATAAATAACACCAAAAACATTGTAACATGTGAACTATGATAATGTGCCTGTACTAAAACTGACTTTTAGAACTATTATAGGAATATTCTTAAATTACTATAACAGTTTCAACATATGTCATTGATTAGTTTAAGAAACAAATATGTCATTGATTATTTTCTCCATTTAAACAATTTTTTTTTTTGAAACATAAACAATATTTATTATTATAAAGTAACTATAATATACAAAAAAATCCCCATCTGAAATTATCTAATACGATTTAATATATATATATATATAAATTAATAATACTGAATAATAAATATTGTAACAATTTTGTATATGAGCACAAATCCGGAGAACTGGCCGGCTTTCGCTACAGAGATCGAGCTACTTCAGAGACTACATGAGGGCTTCGAGGATGTGCGGCTATTTCATATTCCTCGGAGTTTGAACGGTAGAGCAGATGCCCTAGGCAAAGAAGCAAGAAGGAAAGGAGTTGCTTTTTCCCATATAGATCAGACCAGGCCAGACGGATGTGCTCTTAGGAGGATCGACTCGTTTGTCCACCACTTGATCTAAATCGAATGGGAGTACGGACAAAAAACAAAAAAAACAATTTTGTTTCCTCTATTATATTTTTTTATTTATACTATTGAATTTAATAAAAAATCACATTAATCATATAAAAAATTCTCTTATATATTATAGTTTAATTTTAAAAATTGATTACAAATATTAAAACACTAATATTGAAAATTTTCTGGTCAATGGTTTAAAACTTTTATAGTAATAAGATACATATGATCATATATATATTATATATTAGTATGAAGATTCATTTAATAATTTTTTAAAATATATATTTTTAATATCTTACGCATTAGATATTTATACTTTATAAATTTAAAACATTAAAAAGATCTAATGTAAATTGTTTTTTAATAACACAACAAAAACTATTTTTATACAAGGATGATTATAAAATAAATGAAATTATGATTTAAATTTATAATAATGATAAGAACTATAAAAAATCTAAATATATATTTAAAATAAAAAAACTATAATTCCTATATATATTGTTTTGTTATCCGGAAAATATATTTTAATATACAAAAATTCAAAAACGGAAAGCATATAAATAAATATTCATAAAGTAAAGTTTTTAATTTTATATAATTGAAAATAGAAAATTAAAAAAGTATAAGACGTAATAATTTTCAAATTAAAAGAATATAATAATATAATATAATGATATATACTTGTGAGTTATTTTTTTGCCTCTGAACCCACACGTTAAATTAAATTTATTTTTATATTTTATATAATTAAACCTTAAACATGAATTAATCATATAAAATAAAAGATGATTCAAAAAGAAAGAAAAGACGTGTTTGAAAAAAATAAATTTAAATATATTGTTTTATTATCCAAACTAATATTATTCTTTCTGTAAGATCAATTTTTGAATGTATATTTATCGATTCATTTTTTCCAAATCGAAAGATAAATTTTTATATTTTTATCAATTAAGAAGAAAGGAAATAGACTTTAGATTTTTCAAAGTTTAAAAGAAAAAAGTATATATATTTTTTTAGTTTCTGAATAACTTTATCATGTAAAATGGTTTAATGTTTAAGGTCAAATTTTATGGATGCAAATAATCATTTATTTTGATGATTTTTTAAATTGATTTAAAGATAATTAAGCCCGCATAGTACATAGTGTTTCAAAAAAAAAAAGAGTAAATAGCCAATACAAACGCATGGATCAAAGTCTATTATATTTATTATCTCAGTAGTAATTACACGTTACAACAAAAATGATGAAAATTCCACTTAAACAGGTGCCCACTTATACTCTAATTTGGGAGCTTCTGTACCGTGTGTGAAGTACATGCCATCTTCTCTAGCATCCCAAAAATTGGTCTTACCAAAACGAACAAGGCCACCACCACTTTTATAAGCTGTAAAAGCTACACGAAACGAGAAATTANCTCTAGCATCCCAAAAATTGGTCTTACCAAAACGAACAAGGCCACCACCACTTTTATAAGCTGTAAAAGCTACACGAAACGAGAAATTAAGACCCTGGTCTAAGGTGCAATCGAAATAGGTCTTCAAAAAACTATCATGAAAACTAAAATCGTAGGTCTGTCCAGGGTTCAAAAAATGAACACCCAAGTCGTCACTGTCTGATATACAATGAATCTTGAGAATATTTCCCGGACGAAGAGAATTTTTGAAGTGGACACTGTTTTTTTCAAAGAGTGCGTTACTAGACCCAGCAATCAATGCAATGGTAAGCAAAAAGCACAAGAGCCTATTCATCGTTTTTTGTTTGATTAGTGTTTGTATGTGTGTGTGTTTGTATTTGTTTTTTTCTAGCTCTGAAAAAGGTTCCAATTTATAGAACCTATTTTACGAGTTCATGCACACATGCATTCAAGTTTGAATGTGATTTGATTCTTATTTAGTCGTAGTAATTAATGTTGTCAAATAAGATTTTTTCGGTAACGTAACTATTGAAATGTAATAAATAACACCAAAAACATTGTAACATGTGAACTATGATAATGTGCCTGTACTAAAACTGACTTTTAGAACTATTATAGGAGTATTCTTAAATTACTATTACAGTTTCAACATATGTCATTGATTAGTTTAAGAAAAAATATGTCATTGATTATTTTCTCCATTTAAACAATTTTTATTATTATAAAGTAATTATAATATACAAAAAATCCTCATCTGAAACTATCTAATACGATTTAATATATATATATATATATATATATATATATATATATATATAAATTAATAATACTGAATAATAAATATTTGTAATAATTTTGTATATGAGCACAAATCCGGAGAACTGGCCGGCTTTCGCTACAGAGATCGAGCTACTTCAGAGACTACATGAGGGCTTCGAGGATGTGCGGCTATCTCATATTCCTCGGAGTTTGAACGGTAAAGCATATGCCCTAGGCAAAGAAGCAAGAAGGAAAGGAGTTGCTTTTTCCCATATAGATCAGACCAGGCCAGACGGATGTGCTCTTAGGAGGATCGACTCGTTTGTCCACCACTTGATCTAAATCGAATGGGTGTGCGGCCAAAAAACAAAAAAACAATTTTGTTTCCTCTATTATATTTTTTTTGATTTATACTATTGAATTTAATAAAAAATCACATTAATCATATAAAAAATTCTCATATATATTATTTTTTAATTTTAAAAATTGATTACAAATATTAAAACACTAATATTGAAAATTTTCTGGTCAATGGTTTAAAACTTTTATAGTAACAAGATACATATGATCATATATATTATATATTAGTATAAAGATTCATTTAATAATTTTTTAAAATATATATTTTTAATATCTTACGCATTAGATATTTAAACTTTATAAATTTAAAAAATTAAAAAGATCTAATGTAAAATATTTTTCTAATAACACAACATAAACTATTTTTATACAAGGATGATTATCAAATCAATGAAATTATGATTTAAATTAATAATAATGATAAGAACTATAAACAATCTAAATATATATTTAAAATAAAACACTATAATTCCTATATATATTGTTTTGTTATCCGGAAAATATATTTTAATATACAAAAATTCAAAAACAGAAAGCATATAAATAAATATTCATAAAGTAAAATTTTTAATTTTTATATAATTAAAAATAGAAAATTTAAAAAGTATAAGACGTAATTATTTTCAAATTAAAAGAATATAATAATATAATATAATGATATATACTTGTGAGTTATTTTTTCCTCTGAACCCACACGTTAAATCAAATTTATTTTTATATTTTATATAATTAAACCTTAAACATGAATTAATCATATAAAATAAAAGATCATTCAAAAAGAAAGAAAAGACGTGTTTGAAAAAAATAAATTTAAATATATTGTTTTATTATCCAAACTAATATTAATCAATGAAATTATGATTTAAATTAATAATAATGATAAGAACTTCTGAGTTATTTTTTTGCCTCTGAACAAAGTTAAATTAAATTTATTTTTATATTTTATATAATTAAACTTTAAACATGAATTAATCCTAATAAAATAAAAGATCATTCAAAAAGAAAGAAAAGACGTGTTTGAAAAAAAAATTAAATATATTTTTTTATTATCCAAACTAATATTATTCTTTCTGTAAAATCAATTGTTGAATGTATTTTTATCGATTCATTTTCCCAAATCGAAAGATAAATTTTTATATTTTTATCAATTAAGAAGAAAGGAAATAGACTTTAGATTTTTCAAAGTTTAAAAGAAAAAAAAATAAATATTTTTTTTTAATTTGTGAATAACTTTATTATGTAAAATGGTTTAATGTTTTAGGTCAAATTTTATGGATGCAAATAATCATTTATTTTGATGATTTTTTAAATTGATTTAAAGATAATTAAGCCCGCATAGTACATAGTGTTTCAAAAAAAAAAAGAGTAAATAGCCAATACAAACGCATGGATCAAAGTCTATTATATTTATTATCTCAGTAGTAATTACACGTTACAACAAAAATGGTGAAAATTCCACTTAAACAGGTGCCCACTTATACTCTAATTTGGGAGCTTCTGTACCGTGTGTGAAGTACATGCCATCTTCTCTAGCATCCCAAAAATTGGTCTTACCAAAACGAAGAAGGCCACCACCACTTTTATAAGCTGTAAAAGCTACACGAAACGAGAAATTAAGACCCTGGTCTAAGGTGCAATCGAAATAGGTCTTCAAAAAACTATCATGAAAACTAAAATCGTAGGTCTGTCCAGGGC